GTTGTACCCCTCAACTAGTGGGTGTTCCCTGCCATATTTCAGGGAGGAAGTTGAATGTACCACATAGATGGACATGATAACTGATAAGAGATTGAATTTTTCCAGTTTTCCTTGGATCCTCAAGACTTAGGCTGAAAGGAGGTGTCTATGTTTAAATTAAAAAAATGAGGCACATGTGTGAGGGCAACTAAACTTTCCCACCAATGCCAGCATTGTACCTCACTGTGTTTGATTGATTTCAACATTTTTTTCTCTCTGCTGTGACTTCCAGTATCAGAGCCAGGGTAGGAGATAATTGGTTCAAGCACTGGAGAAGAGGGGGGAGGGGAAAAGGTTGTTCTCCTTGTTCCATTTTTGTTTAAATACATATGTGCACCTCATGCATATACTTTCTCTACAGCAGAACAATAGGTTACTTGTCACTTTCCCCTGTCAGAGCTAATAGCATCTAATGATGGCTGGATGGCGGCAATTTGTATCCTGGAAAAAGGTATAGATACTTAAATATGAAGGTGTAGAGATCACAGGTCCAGACCCTGGAAAAAGGTATAGATACTTAAATATGGAGTTAAAGGTGTAGAGATCACAGGTCCAGATTCAGCTGTGTTCTCTAAAGTAGAGAGATCTGATCTTGTCTCTTGTCAGATGTGTGTATGTTAGAGCAAAGTCTTAACCAGTAGCTTAAATTCTAACAGTGTTCCACCAACAATTTTGGTGGCAATTTTTACTGTTCCTGAAAGCTTGTTGAGTCTGGGGGCAAAGTTTTGGAGGGCACAGCAGACCGAAGCAGGATGGGAACATAGGAGATTTGCTTCTACAAGGTCTGTTCATGATAGATATAGAGTCTATGCTTCTGCCTTTATCTTCCCCTCATGCAATCTGGAGATCAAACCTACTGAATGTTGTGGAGGTAGGTAAAGGATCTTAGCCTTTGCATTATCCCACTCTCCACTCTTTGCAATCCTGCCCACCTGCCAGTGAGTACAAGCAAAATTTTGTCGCTGCATAGCGGGTGCAGCCCCAGATAATGGAATAACTTATAACAACTGTATCCTTGTTTAGATTGAATCTCCCTAAAACTTGAGATTCAGTGTCTGGCATGTACAAGAGTTGAGATGATCCTGTTTTTTAAGAACATCTAATAATTTCTCCTTGGAAAATGTCCCTGTTAAGCCCACTTCTGTTGAAGCCAGTTAACAAAGTACTGCACTCTTCTAATTGCTAATAAACACTGAGGCACACGGAATGCTGTTACCTTCCCACCAAAGTGGTACCTATTTATCTACTTGCAATTTCTTGCTTTCAGACTGCTAGGTTGGCAGAAGCTGGGGCCAGAGATGGGAGCTCACTCTGTCACACGGCACTAGGGTCTCGAACTGCCGAACTATTGTCATAAGAGAACATAAGAGAACCCAATGTTGGATCAGGCCAATGGCCCATCTAGTCCAACACTCTGTCACACAGTGGCCAAAAATACCAGGTGCCATCAGGAGGTCCAGCAGTGGGGCCAAGACACTAGAAGCCCTCCCACTGTTGCCCTCCCCCAAGCACCAAGAATACAGTGCATCACTTGCCCCAGCCTGAGAGTTCCTAAACTGACCTTCCAGTCTGTAACTCAGCATCTTAACCTCTGAACCACCGTGGTCCAGATTACATAACTTCAAAAATTAAGGAACAAGTATCTTCAGACAATTCTTGGAGCTTGTCTCTTTCTTTGCAGTGGGACTTCTGTGTTCTGCATAGCTCCATACTCCTCCCTTTGGTCAGCAGAAAGAGCTGCCCCCCTGGGCAAATATATGCTTGGTTACATGATGTAAACTTCTTAAAATGTTGTACTTCTTTCTTCATCAGCTTCATCACAAAATTAGAGAAGCAGCGGCAGAAACAGGTGGAAGAGGGGACACTTCTTGGTGCAACTTCTTTTTTATCAATTTCAGCGAATTCCCCTCAGATTTGCTACAGTAGGTCAGACAACTGACCTCTGTTTTGCTTATTTACCATATTTCTGTACCACTCTCAAAGCAGCTTACAATCTTTTAAAAAGCACATTAAAATAAAGGAAAATTATAAAGGCCTAAATCAGCATACAATACAAGTCATTAGAATAGCATCAGTCAAACATCAAATCATAATCAGATTAAGTACCAATTCCAAAAGTTTGGGAGAATATAAATGTCTTTCTTCTCTAAAATGGGCAAGTGAGTAGAAAAGATAAGCCCCTGGTTGCTTAACTGTAGAGTGAATATTGAAAAGATTTGCTCCTGATGGATGTTAGTCTCTTGTATCTGCATCCATATTTCTAATTCTCAACAGTCCCCTCTGCTTGTGGATACTTATTTCTGCAAAGAGAGGGCACATTCTCCCCCAACAGATTTTTTTACAGACTCAGGAGACTCTGTGGGGCTGCAGAAAAATCCAAAAAGTAAAAAAAAGCAACCCACACAGTGAGGGTTGAACACACACCCCCAATACCTTTTGAAATGGCCGCCGCAGGGATCTACTCCAGGCCCTGCTGCATCGACAGTAAGCAATAGACTGGCTGATAAGCCAGAGAGAGAGATAATTAATGGGGGAAGAGGGGAGGAAGCAAAAGCAGAACTAGAGCTGGGATTGGGGAGGATTCCTCCTGCAGTGTGAATGGCTAAATAGCAGGGGGACATTTTAAAACAACATCTGAGCTTCTCACCCCTACCTCTTTTGCTGCGGGTTCCACTGTCGTTTTAGAATTAACGGATACAGAAACACACAAAGCCAACAAGGAAACAAAATAAAAGGATTAATGCTTTGCATACATTCTGTGTATGGTACTGAGTGGGTCTCATCACAAGGAGTATACATGTAGTAACTACAAAACCTACACTGCAGTTTCAAAAAAAACACAATTGCAACTTAAAACAAACTATAGTACATTACACAACTTTTTGTTGCAGGTCCCCATTTGTACATTGGAATTCTGAGCTTCATGAAAAGATCTCAGCAGGTGTGTGGGGGTGTCACATAGGAGTTGACATTCTCAAGGATATTCTAGGCCAAAGCGTTTTAGTGTTTTAAAGGTCAACACTAGCACCTTGAATTATGCAGCTAATGTAGTTACTGTAGCATTGGTATAATGTTTTTTTTTGTTCCTGTAAGGAGGCTGGTGGCAATATTTTTAACCAGCTTTGGTTTCCTAATAGTCTCCCATGCCTTCCAGTAGTATTATCTGTATGTCATCAAGGCATATATGTACATGAGAGTGACAAATTCCTTATATTTTACTAGCAAAAGCAACTGTAGAATCAGTTTAGCCCAATAAAATGCAAACCTGACCATGACAGCCATGTGATGTTCTAATACCAAGGCTAATTCTGGAGAGCTTTTAAGCTCTGAGAACACTGTGACACTGCTTTGGTGAGAGTATAAACTCCTCCAGAATGTGGATTTCTTCTGCTGTGGTCAGTTAATTGGATCATCCACTATCATCATCATCTCTGTTTTACCTGGATTGAGCTCCAGTTTATTACCCTCATCCAGTCTTGCCATTCCCAGATACCTCCTCGGGTTTAGGGAGAAGGGAGCTGAATGTCATCAGCCTATAAACAATACTATATCACACTCCCACACATGAAGTTGCATTGATCCATCAAGGGCAGTGCTGTCTACTCAGCCTGGCAGAGGTTTTTCACATCTTCTGTCACCTGGCCCTTTAAGGAGAGATGGTGGGGATTGAACCTGGGACCTTCTGCATGCAAAGCAGAGGCTCTTCTGCTGAGCCACAGCCCTTCCTCAGATCTCCAGATGAACACTCTCAAGGTTTCATGTAGATGTTAAACAGCATTGGAAGCAAAACTGAATTCTTGAGCAACTCAATAGGGTAAACCTTTATGGAGTAGTCTCCCAGTACCTTTCTGGGATCTATCTCCAAGGACAGGAACAATTGCAAAGCAGTGCCTCCCAGTCATAGTCTTGTCTTCTGGGGCAGATAGTTTCCCCCAGCATTTAGTAATCACCCAATCAAGAGGAGCAAAGTTCAAGATAAGACACAATGACCTAGATTAATTCACATATCTTTTAAGCATTTTCAGGTGAAATGAATGAATGAAAATTGTTCCAAGTAATTATGACTAGCAGAATCCAAGATGCATTCTGATACAAATCTTAATGATATGGTATCAAAGTCAGAGCAAATGTGAGTGATTTTCTCTGCAGTGTGTTTTGAAAAAAGAATTGCAGCAGGCTGAAGATGGCGTTGTCTGAGCTACCATTGGCAGCATTCTCCAAAAAAGCACTCTTCTGGAAGTGGTTCTTACCATAGTGTCCAGGTGCAGTTACCTTCTGGATTTGGAGGAGGGAGAACTGCTCAGGGAAAGGAGTAGGCTGTGGATCACCCCCCCCCATAGCAACTGCTGTGAGTTCAGATGAAGAATAGGGAGGGAAAAGCCTGATGACAGTAAAACTTGTACTTCCCTCTGCTTTCTACCGCTGGCATGTCTCGTAGGCTCCTCAACTAACCCTCTTTTGGAAATGCTTCTTAAGCATGGCAGGAATCAGGTGACTGCACAACTTGGCTGTTCTGCAAGTACAAATGATATGTCTGTGTCTGGTTAGAACAATCTGCAAGCCAAGGAATTGGGCATTGTGATCATAGCTTTTTGCTTGGGTTGTTTGTGAGCATTCTTAGGAGTCGCAGTAGTTTTGATGTCTGTGGGACACTAGCTAGACTTCATCATTGCCTAACCTCATGTATGCATAAGAAATACTGGAGTTGCTATGTGTAGGGTAGTACCCACAATTCTGTATACCGTATCAGGGTTGTGATTTAGGACAGCAACTGCGTAAATTATGTGTATACTTTTGCTGATGGTTGAGGGTGGGGAATCATTTTGCAGGTTCAGGAAATGTTAGAAGTGTTGTGCTGAGTGCTTGTGGATGGGCTAATAGAAATCTATTAATGAAATAGGAAAATAGTAGTTATCTCTTATTACCAACACCATTTGTAATCCATATTTTTTCCTAAATAGTCACTTCTTGAATATGCAGAAAAGTGGAAGACATCTGAAGATCCGTTGCCCTTACTGGAGGTGTACACAGAGGCCATTCGCAGTTATGTTAAAGCACGACCTTACCTTACCTCTGAGTGTGAAAATGTAGCCTTTGTGCTTGAACGCTTAGCTCTGTAAGTATATTTTATTCATTTTTGCTATATTTGGTCTTTTTAATTGCTTGATTTTTTTCTTAGTGGTGAATAATTTTTCTGGATAAATAATCAGAACTTCTGTTTCTATTATAAGCAGTTAGCTGACTTGTCAGCCTTGCTTGCTTTTTTCAGAAGCTGTGCTGAACTTTTGCTCTGCCTGCCTTTTGAGCTGCCTGAAAATCAGTGGAAAGAATTTCAGTCCTTTATACAGGTGAGAGGTTTGTTGGTTATCTTTTACACATCTGGGATCATAGCTGAGCTCCAAGGGGTAGACAAATTAGGTTAAAAATTTCCTTTATCTGTTCTACTTTTTAGACCACCTAAAGTCCTACAGTAAGATAGCCATTTCTTCTCTGATGTTTCTATTCCCTTCCTTGGATTTTGTTTAATTCAGAGGATTTTTTAAAAAATGGTGTTTGGGTAGGACCCAGCTCAAGTAAATTGAATAGGAAGTGGAGAGAAATACTGCAGATAAAAGGTGTTGGGGACCAAAATTATGTCACACATGTCCAAAACAGATTTTGTGGAAAACGCACACATTGCTGCACAATAGTCAGCATCCCAGAGTACAGATGGGACAGAATATGGGACTTTGTTTCACATATGTGACACAGTCTCCACTTGGGAAAGCAGGGATTTGCAGTGGCAAGGAGGAACATGGGTTGGACCCAGTGTTCCTTCTAAGCTGGTGTGTGTGAGCAGCCGCTCATTAACACAGGAAGCCTCACTCAGCAGCAGTCTGGAGCCGCACAGGGTCTTGCACTTCCCATTGCCCATTTTAAAATTACAGCAGTTATATTCTGCTCAGGATGTGAACTGCTCCACTCAGTAGGGGAAAAAAATTAGTGGAAACATTGGTTGAATCCGGACTAAATTTTCCAACAGACTCCCACTGCAGCCCATTGATCTCCACAAAATGCTGCTGTTGGAGGATAGGGGGCACTAAGAAATTACATAACGGGAGCCTGGAGAAGGAAGGGGAAATCAGAGGAAATTGCCATTTTAGTCTAGGTCCAACCCCATATTTATGCTTGAGAGTGCAAGTTCTATTTACTGTTATGATCCATAAAGCATGAGGTACTGCCACTTATACTTTTATCACTCACAAAAGATATATTTGCTGTGCATTACAGTACTATAGTCCTGCAGTAATTCATGTACCATATTTGCCAGGGTATCAGGACTGTCATTTTTGCAATCTTAAATGACCTTCCACTGATTTGAAATTGCATTATCTTTCATTCATCGTTGACCAAAGAATATTATGCCCTTGACAAATTCCCCTCTTTCAGAGTTGTGAGTCCATATATAGAACGCTGCTACTGGTAGTAAGGTTATATGCGCACCTGCTTAATTTTTTTGGCCATTACTGTTCAGATGAGAGAGGAGGTTTGATAATTGGCAAAACTTACAACAGTTTATGATCAAACTGCTCATTCAGAAGGAGATAGTTGGGACTAACAGTTACCCTTAACTTCCTTTGCTTTACAATGGAATCCCTTTTGTATAGACCTGAGTAACAATTGCCAACTTTATTAGGCTCTCTCCTCTCCCTCATCATAATGTTTTCATGCCATTTGATAGTATCAGTATTAGAAATATTCACAGTTTGAGGGGATATTGAAAAAAGAGCTAAAAAAATAAGCAATTTTTGCAACAGTTTAGTTTTAAGTAAACTGCAGCATTCCCATGTTCAAGAAGGCAAGATCATCTAGAATGTAAATTAACTTAAAACTGTCTTTCTTCTGTTTTCTCTCTTTGCTTAATAGTTCTCACTAGGGATTCCAGACTGAAAGATAATATTATTCATGGAAACAGTCTTACACATATTCTTAATAGCCAAGAGTTTGTGACTTTGTATAATTTATTATACATTTGGTAACTACAGTGTCAGTTTTGCTTTCCCAGATGGCTCATTCAAAGTTGATGGAGAATGGCAGCTGTCAGTTACATTGTTTAGTTCTTCTTGCCCAAGAGAATGGGATATGGAACAATCCAGTTCTTTGCAGTATTCTTTCCCAAGAACCAGTGGATCAAGATAAAGGTAGGGTTGCACTGTTAGCAGGAAAGGGGTGTCATTACTATAATTTTTACTGGTCAGATGGGGAAAATAATCTAAACTTCACATTTGTATGAAGTGTGTTCACAAAATAAATAATCTTGCAGTTGGTCAACTATCTCTTTTCAGATTCAACCATGCAAAATATAAGTTTGTTGGTATAGCAGAATTGTGACTAGACGTTATATTCTGTATACTGGATAAGATATATTTGATATACTCATAGTTTTGGCTGGTTGTTTAGTGTATTCTCAGTTCAGGCCTTGAATTCTGGGGGAATTGAGAAGAACACTTGAGTTGCAGATATATTAAATCTTGGTGTGTAGAAGGTGTAGTATCACCTACATCAAATTTTGGGATGACTTACTTCATTAACGTCTGGTCTAAGAAATCAGGACATCTGTATCAACTGCCTTGCTTGCAACAGGCTCTCTGATGTGATCTCAGAAGTGATGCTAAGAACGTTTAATACTTAATTGTCTTAGATGATTTCAGCGTAAATATTAAGGCTAGATCAAGAGAACTTAAAGGGGAGTAGGGGAATTAGTAGTTATTTAGATCATGTCCCCACTAGTGGTTGATGGCCAGTTGGATAAAGCTGGGACACTTGCTGATTGGAGATATCTGTGGCTTCCTTCCATGTGACAGAATCTGTAGTTACTGGCTGTTGCCCAAGCTATACTGGTCCAAGGGCTGTAGTGGGGGCAGGGAAGAGGGTGAAATCCCTCCCTTCTTCATCTGTCAGCACAGCTGTGCTGATGCAAACTGCAGATTTCATCCGTTTCCCTACCAGTCCACATGGACCCCATTGCTACAGGGTCAGAAAGGATTGCTGAGGAGAGGGAAACACTGGATGAATATTGGATCCAACTCCATATTTTCCATTTCCTCCCCTTAATTAGTATTTCTTTACTGTAGATTATCTGAACATAAAGATTTTGGAAAGAATTCAGAAACTGTTTTTGCCCCTAGTAAAAACTATTTATGATAAGAACTAGAAAAATATAGGTGAAGGTTAGAGAGGTAAAATTTCCAGAAATTTTGAAACCATATTTCAGAGTACACCACTCCATGTGGTGTAGTGAGTAGAGCATCAGAATAGGATTTGGGACACCCATGTTCAAATCTCCTTTCTGATGTGGAAGCTTGCTGAGTGGTCTTCTTGGGTCTGTTTCACATGCCCAGCCAAATTTACTTCACAGGGTTGCTGTGACAATAAAATGGAAGAGAGTGGAAAGATATAAGCTGCATTGGGGAGAAAGGCAGGATATAAATGAAGTAAATGTAAAATAAATATTTTAAAACTCTCGATAGGAATGTGTGGAAATTTTAGGGAAAATTTAGGAATGTATATTCAGTACTTCTTTACCAAGTCTAAACTTATTGTACTGCTTTAACAACTTAATTGCATATTTTACGAATTAAAATATAAAATTGTATTGTTCAGCATATTTATGGCATTTAAAATTATAAATGCTTTCTTTTTCTTACAAGAAAATTGTGATTATTTATACCAAATACTTGAGAATGAGCTGCAAACTGCAGCATTCTATATTATAATCATGTATACTTTAGCTGTGCCATCTGAGAGGTAGAGAAGAACAAAAATAAGCTTTATAACATTGAAAACAAATAATGTATTATCATATGCATAGCATATTCGTTTTGTCAAAATTAGTCGCATTTAAACAGTGAATATATCTTTGAAAATACATTGTGTATGTCTACAGTGTATGCAGAACTGTCAATTTTTGAGTGAGTTGACACCTTGTTTTGCTCAAACAGTAAGAGCCTACAGAATCCCAGAGGAGAAAAATTTGTGGGGTGGGATTTCACTATTGTTCCCTTGCAAACTCACAACTTCTATATGGATCTTATTTCTACACTGGCTGTGATGAGGACCATTTTATGCTATGTGCAGCTTAGCTTCTCTCTTTTAGCCTTAGAGGCAGAAGAGAGATCCTGATCTGGTTGCATGCACAGCTTGTAGGTGCAGCTTAGTCTTACTAAAACAAGAATCATTCTGTGTTTCCAAGAGGAAAATTAAACCTTGACATTATAACTTTTAAATGTTAATAATATTAATGTAACTGTTAATTCTCATTCATGAGTTTAAAATGTACACTTTTAAAATCTCAAGGTCCATTTGTATCTAATTTCAGTAGCAGCAAAGGATGTTCCTTTGTTCCTACAATACTGACTACCTGAAATGGTAAACACTATGGTTTAAAGGATTATTAAAGCCTGTGGGTGGAAGAGCAAGGCTAAAAAGTGACAGATGTAATTAGTCACTGGATGGTTTAGAGGCGAACAAGAATATAAATTTTATATTAGATACAGGAAATGAATGTTGAATAAATTCATCTTTTTGTTTCAGCAATGAACATCCCACTATAATAAAGGTATTACACATGTATATATACTGAATATAGTCACATACATTTAATATGATGATGATGTACCAGATCTTAAAGTGATTTTATTATTGTGTAAGACTAGAGCTTATGGTCTTGCATTAGTTATACAGTTATATCTGTGTAACCCTTTGTGCCTTAAAAGGGCCAGGTTAATACTCATAAGATAGTGGATGCCCCATTCAAAACCTGAACACATCTAAACAAAAGAAGTTTATTGAAAAGTGAGGGGAAACAGCAAGGTTAACAGGGAGGTTTAACAGAGACAGTACGAATAAAAGTTATAATGGTAGTCTCAAACTTAGGGGGGGAAAGAAGAAAGTCTTCTAGTCACTTTTCCTCACAGTCACTTGGAAACCACACACTCTCAGGATTGACAGCTCTCCAGAAGATGGTCACTCCTCTGCTAACTGCCTTTTCCCATCTCCAGGAACAATTTCTTTAGAACTTCTCCCCACTATCAGGAGGGAAAACACCCCAGCTTCTTCCTCTGACATCTCCCTTTCAGAGTTCTCCCCCTTCTCCTCCTGCTGTGTTGCCAGGCAACCACTCAGCCTGTCTGTAGGAAGCACATCCCTCTAGAGGGCTGTGGTTTTAGGCAAGGCCCATTATGCAGGTTAAAACATATAATACACTCTCTAATAGTAAATCGATATTTTTACAATGCTTACATCTCTTCAGCTAAATCTTTACAAAAATGCATTTAACAAAATCTTTACAAAAATGCATTGTTAATTTAACTGCTTTTTATGGATACCTGTTTACTCAGTTTGTCCTTATGCTAAATCAGCTTCAATCAATAAAGATATCAGTCACACAATTACAGATGTAAAACTCAATTTAGATTCTGCTGAGCTGATTTTCAGACATGGCTTGGCACTCAGAAAGAGGGATTGGCATGAACCGGGAACATTCTGTGACACGAACTGAACCGGGAGATGAATTCACAACTGAACTGATCCATGCAGTTCGTGGCCCTGCAAACCTTGTTGAAAGGGACCACAGTCCTTTTCAATGGGGTTTGCAGAAAGCCTGAAAAATAGCTAAGCGGTGGGGAGAAGCTTGATCCCCACTGTTCAGCTGTTGTAGGCTGTCTTGTGCAGTCCCTTTCAAAGTACTGCAGAACAGCATGAAAAACAGCTGAGCGGTAGGGAGGCAATCCCCCCCTCGCACAGCTCTTTCAGGCTGTCTTGTGCAGTCCCTTTTAAGTTTAAAGGGACTGCAGAAGACAGCCCTAAAGAGCTGTGCAGCAGGGAGCATCTCCCTACCATGCAGCTGTTTTTTGCGCTGTCTTCTGCAGTCTTGCAGCTTTCATGGGGAATGCAGGGGTTTAAAGGATCTCAGAGTCTCTTTAAACCCACTTTCTTGCTCCATCCATGAACTGCTCTAAAAGTTTTTGGAAGTTCATGGTGAACCCGTCACAAACTTCTGTTTGTGAACCACAAACAGGGCAAAATTAGTAATGAATTTTGCTTTGTGGTTCAGTTTATGCCCATCCCTACTCAGAAGCGTGTCATCGGTATATACTGGTTCCTTTCCTTTCCATGTTTAGATACAAGGTTACAAAGTTGTTTTGAAGAATAGTAGCAAATTTGCAGCAAAGCTGTGTCTACCATTGTATAATTAATACATTTTAGTAGATTTAATTGAACTAGTTACAGCTTCAGAGCAGTGGATTTTAAGTCATGGAAATGGTATCTAAGGAAAGGGTAAATACCACCACCAGCACCAGCACTAACACTTCCTTAATATTTAAAAAATAATCCTGAGATAAATCCTAATTCTGACACACTACTTTGAATCTACTCTGGTCTTTTTCTAGCTTTGTTCTCTGTGCTCATTCCTTTCCTTTCTTCTTATAAACAAATATTATCACCACAATTATAAATAATCCTTCAGAGGTTTTTTTTATTCACTCGTGTGGATTCCTCTTTCTGTTTCCTCCACCCTATTAGAGCTTGCTGCTGCCTCCCCTCTCCTGGACCCACTGTGCTCCCCTAGTGGTGCTCTGTTTTAAACCCAGAACTGGCTGCTAATGTAGCTCAGCAGTGTTCCAGCTGGAGTAATCAACTCAGGTTCTGTCCCTCTGTGTCTTACTCTCTTAAAGTTAGGGTGATATATCCAAGGTTCAGTCTGCCATCTCCAATTCAAAGGAGCCCCGGTGGCAGGACTCAGAAAATTTCTCTTTGTTGCCTAGGGTTTCTCACTGCCAATCAGAGTGGACAATGTTGTGGCAGAGGGAGTAGTAGTGATAGAGATGTAGCCCAACGCCAAACCGTATTCTCCAAACATCTGCCTGGACATTGTCTGGATCATGATTTTGTAGAGATTATTTGTAAATCCAAATAATAATCGTTCCTGGATGGCGTATCTAAAATCTGAGCTGTTGACTACTATTGAATTGTCAGAATTGATTCAGTATCAGTCTTGCAAAATAAGGAAGATACTCAATGAAAGGCTCCTGAAGTTATTTTTTAAAGTGTAGCTACAAGAGGAACGGTGTAATCGCTTGATCTATTGTGGTCTTGTTGGCATTTTACACTGGGAAAAAAACTTATTTCACACTTTTAG